CCCGCCGCGTTCTTGGCGGCCGTGCCGTTTGGCGCGGCGGGGAGGGGTCGGCCGTCCCAGCAGGGGCACCTGACGCGGCCGCCGAGGGTGCAGTCGAGTAGCGGCGAGGAGACCGACTGCGGGGGTGGAGCAGGCAGCAGCAGGGCAGGGTGGCACGCGGCCGCGGCCGAGGTGGGCGTGCGGAGGGCGCGGGCTGGCCTTGAGTCGGGGGTTGCAAGCTGCGCGGCCATCCGCGTGGGTGACTCGTGGCGCCGAGGCCCCCGCGGCGTGGCCTCCTGCCGCGAGCCCCGCGTGCTCGCCGGGACGCCCAGCGCCCCACGAGGCGCGTGTGTGTGCGTCTGCCCGTCCAGGACCCCTCGTCCCGCCAGACGGCCCTGGGATGAAATCCAAATCTCACGTTCTTGGGGTATGGCCCAAAGCCGGGGACTTCGACGGGCGGCACCAAAACCACCGCCTTGGCGCCCGCCTCGATGCAAAACTGCACCAGCGAGCACAGCGTCGGCAGCACCTGCGCCTTCCGCCCGTCCGGCCGCGCCACCTCGCGCGGCGCCGACTGCACCATGCACGCCGCGCCCTTCGCCGCGGGGCACGGCGCGTCCCCGGCCCCGCAGTCCGCGACGGGCCCCTGGAACGATCCGATGCCCGAGTACTGGGCGGCGGGGGCCATGTTCAGGGAGACGGCCCCATACGCAAAGTAGCCGGCCGCCTTGCCAGACTTGGCGCTCTTCTCAACCGGGTATGTTGAAAGGATGTCGGCCCCTGCGATGGAGGGCGGACATCGCGCCGGCGGCGGCGGTTGTTACAGGCTGTCGGTTGCGGAGGGCGACGATCGGCTGCGCTGTTTGTGTGGGAGAGGAGGGCTGAGGCTGGCCTGGGCGAGTGCGCCCGGCGGCGCGGCGCGGCGCGTGCATGGGGGCGCGCTCACCTGGCGCGACGATGTCAACGCGCACGTCCCTTTGGCTCCAGGGTTGGACCTGCGGGAGGGGCCGCGCCGCCGGCGGGACGCGGGCGACTGCATTGGGGGCCCCGGTGGTACGCCACGTGCGGGTCGCCGACGCGCGCGCACCCCGCAGACCCCCGCACGCCTCTGCCATGCCAGCCGCCTTGGCGGCGGCGCCCAGTCGGCCCCGTTTGTAGCAATGTAAGAAAAGAAATGTAAAAACGTAATGAAAAGGTGCTCCGCCCACCTCGTTCACGCAGTCGACGGCGCCGACGCTCAGGACGCCGTCGTACGCTGCCGGGTAGTTGAGCCACTGGAAGGCATCGGTGCCGTTGTTGCCGGCGGAGGCAACAAACAGCATGTCCGGCCGCGCGGTCGCCTCCCTGCAAAAGGAGGGTGTGTGTGGAATGCTGAATGACATAGGTGCACAAAGTGGGGGATTGGCATGCCGCTGCCCGGTGGTGGAGGCGTGGAGCCCAGCCCCGACGCAGTAACGGCTTGCGCGATATTATGCCACGCCGCTTTTTTCCTCCGCCGCTTTTTTCCCGGATATTGAGCTGCCGCCCGCCTGCCCGCGTGTGCCAGGAGTTCACCCTCTCACGCGACGCCAGCGTCAGCCTGAGCCTCTGCTCTTCACCGATGAGAGACGGGCTGCCGCCTCCTTTCGCGGGAACCGAGCGACTCATCCACAGCCCCAAAAAACCCCACAGCTGCTGTCGCCCAAAGCGGCATACACCACCCACGCAAGCCGCTTAAAATCCCCCATGCGCCATCCGATGGGAGCTGTCTAACAAACGCACTTGAAAAAGAGCTTCTCAATTGTGAGGGGACCCGGCGCCCCCAAGCTCATGTTGATGACCATTCGGAACTTTTTGGTGGGGTTGGTCGCCTGAAAAGGGGGCAGCGGCGCGGCGGGGGCACACGCAGCAGCATCAGCGCGCGCTCTAGGGGCGAATGGCTCTGCCGGGGGCGTGCGCAAGGGGCAGCCGTGCCCAGAGTGGCGAGTCAAACATCCACGCGCAGCTGCAGGAGCATACCGCCCTCAGACGCACAGCTACGCGAGTTTTGCGGCCCGCAGGCAGGATGAGCTGGGACGGGAAGCGTCGAAGAAGCCAGAGGGGCCAGCCGCGTCACCTGCAGGTACGCCAGCTTGCCCTCGCACTGCGTGTATGCCAGGATGAGGGACGAGCCGTACACCAGCCCCTGCCCCTGGTTGACGTCGCCGCTGTTGTTGAATACACGCACCAGGTAGATGTCTGCGCAGCAGGGGGCCCAGGGGAGGGGGCAGGAGGGTGCGCTGCTGTCAATGATGACGGCGCGGCGCGCGGCGCGGCCCTGGCGGCGCTGCTGCCGCTGTGGCTGCCGCTGCTGCCGCTGCTGCTGCCGCTGCGGCTGCCGCTGCGGCTGCCGCAGCTGTCAGTTGCGCGGGCAGCTTGCGACTGCGCACGTAACCCACCTGTGATGCCCATTTTCAGCACAACTCTTCCGACACACCAGCCAGCCGAACCAGACTTGCCCACCATGAAAGGCGAGCTGCCATGTACCCTTCTCAACAATGCCCCCCCACCACACACAAAGCCTCTTCCCCTGTTATCGGCCCCCATCAAAGGCCCCTGCCAACCCCCGCCCACCTGCGCCCAGTGGGACGACGCCGACGACGCCGAGCCCGTTGCGGGGGGCGCCGACGATGCCAGACACGTGGGTGCCGTGGCCGGTGATGTCAGAGGACCACTGTGGGGCGGCCGAGGGCGCAACCGCGGGCGCATCAGCCGCCTGCGGACCCCAGACCCGCGCTGCCAGACTCAAGCCTCGCGCCGCTCCCGCGTCGCCGCAGGCGCCGCGAGTTGCTCCGCCGAAGTTCGGTCGCAAGGGCACGTATGCAGTGGCCCAGCTCGGGGCGCGGCGCGGCCAGGCAAGCGGCGGGGCGGGGCTGGGCGGGGC